ACGGCGCAGCTCTCGCCCTCTGGCAACGCCGGCAGCTCGAAGCCGCGCTCTTGCGCCCACAAGCGGATGCCTTCTGCCGCCAGCGAGGCGTGGAAGAGCAGCGAGACGGCCGCGGCGCGAGCGATGTCGGCGGGGTCGCAGCGAGAGAGGACGCGCAGGAGGAGGTCCGTGGGGAGGTCGAGGAGGGGGCAGTGCGCGGCGGCGGCGGCGGCGGCGAGGCGGCTCGAGCGGCGCCGTGGGAAAGACATCGGAAGAAAAAGAACTCCACGAAAAAGAATTCCACGAATTTATATTCCAAAATCCTGCTCGTGCAGTGTGGACCCTGTCCTCCTCCCCTATCCCTCGTTTGGGTTGTGTTTTTTGTTTCTTTCTTTCTTTTTTATATTTTACCGGCCTCTCACGACCTGGGAGAATTTTACAACAAAACTCCCTTGCACGAACTAGGCACGGGACTGGCGCGCACTGGCACTAACACTAACACAGGTACACCACGGGAGCCGCCTAAGCGACTCCTAGTGACACTGATGACACTCTCAACACACCAGGTACGTGAGAGCCGTAGCCGCCATACGGCCCGCGTCATCTAGGTGTTCCGAGTAGCCGCGCCGCTGTGACCCCGCAGCTCTTGGTCTTGGTATAGCCTCCTGTCTCTTGGCTACTGTGAGTCCCGCGTCATCTAGGTGTTCCGAGTACCCCCTGTAGCCGCGCCGCTGTGACCCCGCAGCTCATGGTCTTGGTATAGCCTACATTTTGCCTACTGTCTCTTGGCTACTGTCTTGGTCTAGCCGCTTGGCCTCAACCAGGACCTCTCCGCCTGGGACGTGTCGGCCATCACCACCTACAATATGTACCGGATGTTCTACTATGCCGCCTCCTTCTCCCAGAAGCTCTGCTCCGACGTGTGGATCAACACTTGGAGCCGCGTGTACTATTCGCACCGGCAGCAGGTCTTCAGCGGCACCTCCGGAGGGAACGTGTGCCCTCCCTCGCCACCTCCGTCGCCGCCGCCGCCGCCTCCCTCGCCCTCGCCGCCGCCGCCACCGTCGCCGCCTCCGCCCCCTCCCTCGCCCTCGCCGCCGCCGCCTCCGTGGTCGCCGCTGCCGCCCTTTGGTGGGTGCGAGGACATCACGACTGCCTGGGACGCGCTGCCCTCCAGCTTCCGCTCGAACCTGTACACCGTGCAGGGCGTCGCGACGGGCACGACGCACATCGTTGACGGCGGCCACGACATGTACGACTATGGCAACTACATGTCGGTCTCGATCGGCGACAGCGATTACGGGAGCTACCTCACTTACAACCAGCAGTGCGGCTCCGCTCCCATCGATGGCGACCCTGTGCCGTACTCAACGTGCATGTACCCACACGCCTCTTTCACGCTCATGTACACCCAGGTCCATGCCACCTCAACAGCTCCCAGCAACTCGGTCACGGGCTTCCGGACGACGGGCAACAATGGCGCCGATGGTCACGGCAGCAAGCACGGCACAGGGTCGACCACGCCGCTGACGTCGGCCTCGGGCAGGTTCCAGGCGCACTACACGAAGGTTTATTCTGCGGGTGACCCGAGTATCAACCACCTCATCGTCTACTCGAGCAGCGACCAGACCGCATCGCACTCCTACTCTGCGTCGACTGACAGCGACGTGGACACCGTGACGTTCGGCGAGCCGCAGCACAAGGTGGTGTATCTGCTGTGGGCAGGAACGAGCGGCTACAACTTCCCGACTAGCGACTTTCAGTCGGTGCTGGACATGGTCGATGCGTCAAGCGGCTGCTGGCCGGCCCTGCCTCCATCCTCTCCGCCAGCGCCGCCCGCGCCTCCGTTGCCGCCTGCGTCGCCGCCGCCGCCAAGTCTCTTTTCGGACGAGTCTGCAACCATATCCTCGTTGACGTCGCAGGGGTGCTACCCATCCGAGCCCCCAACGAATCTTTGCTACTCGAAGTCCCTCCATGGTGCGTCTTCTTACACCTTCCACTCCCGGTGCGACAACAAGGGCGCCACACTTACGCTCATCCAGCTCAGCAATGGCTACAAGCTTGCTGCCTACACATCGATCCCGTGGACCTCACGATCTGGCTATGGAACCGGCACCTCGTACATCGCCTCGATCACTCGCAATTCGTGCCACCAGAACCGATACTCGCAATATCAGATCTACGACCACAACATGTACGGGCCGACCTTTGGTGGTGGCCACGATATCTACATCAATTCTAACATGAACGGGGGCTACTGCAATTACCATAGCTATTATGGGGCTGGCAGCATAATATGCGGGTCGTATAGCTCGTGGTCGATCACTGCGCTCGAGGTGTACTCCACCGAGGCTTAGACTCTCTCTCTCTCTCTCTCTCTCTCTCTCTCTCTCTCTCTCTCTCTCTCTCTCTCTCTCTCTCTCTCTCTCTCTCTCTCTCTCTCTCTCTCTCTCTCTCTCTTGAGTCTTGTCCATGTCGGTTGGACTTGGAGCACTTGGAGTTGGCCTATGTGTTTGTTGATGTTGATTGTTGTCGCTTGTTTGTCGGGCGGGGCCTTGAATGAACGCCAACAAAAAAGAGCTACATACACTGAAAAAGACAGCCGACGGAGCTGCATTTCAGATTTTTAGCAAATGCCCGTATTGACCTGTATGAGAGAGAGAGAGAGAGAGAGAGAGAGAGAGAGAGAGAGAGAGAGAGAGAGAGAGAGCTTTTCAGAGAGTGATTTTTAGCAATACCAAACAAATCTAACACTCACGCGTCATTTGCTTTTCAGTCAGAGAGATTTTAGAAAACCAACAAGAAATCACGACTCTCACAGTGATTTGGGCTCGGCAGCTTGTCAGCCCTCAGCCGAAGCTGGGGCCGGTCCCGTAGCCGAGAGAGCCCGCGCCGTGAGTTCGACGCGGTCGGGAGGCCTTGCGGAGAGGCCAGCGAGGTGGCGATCGCTGTACTTCATGGTCGTCCTCTTCTTTTCAGAAGAAGCCAACAACAAAAATTGGTGGGCCGGCGCGGCGCGGCCTCGGCGCTTTCGCAGACCGCCCGCCGAGGCGGTTCATAACTCTGCTCGCAAAAAGAACTAAAGCAGGCATACGCGGGATAATCCCGGACAAGGCCCTTCGGCCGTCAAGTGCTCACAATTGC